TGTATCGTCACGATTTATCGTCATTGTGTTGCAAAGTAGAAGCGCCGTTGGTTTATTTATTCACGCTCTATATGAAAGTTGGCTTAAAATAAGAAGTAATACGAAATTTAATGTCTTCTCTTTGTCTTACTCCGTCAAGAGAATACGCAACTGTATATTTGAACAAGTCTTTCCGATATATTTTTAATTCTCGAGGAGGCAATCTTGCCCGTTGCGATTTGGGATAATTGAGAGTAGGCATTTTTTCTTTTACTGTTCGCTGTATTTGCAATTTCCTCTTGACGATAAATTCTTATTAATTAATTTGCTTAAATTTTAATCTAAATGTCAATAATGAATGCCCACTTTACGATACTATTTTAAGACATTTTGCTTATTGGCGGTAAGATTTTTCTTGCAGTTTGCGGTTTGATTTTTATAATTTTAAAAATACAGTAACATCGCGATAAATACTTTATAAAAGAATGTCCATCGATGATTTTATAATTGTAGCTTGTTTTTAAAATCAATGCTATTCCTATGTTTCAGCGGCAATTTGGCAATTTGAATTTTCAAAAGTTGAATGTTACTTTACGTAGAAATAAATATTGTGAAATATGAAATTGAATTAAGTAATGTGCGCGTGATAGAGCTTCATTATATTAACATACAAATGAAATAAAATTGTAAAAGAATAATTGTAGAAGAAATTACTTTTTTCTTAACACGATGTTTGGTTTATATTCATTTTATAACAAAGTAAAATCTATCTCATTTTATTATCTTATATTATCTCGTTGAAAATAATTTGCAAAAATGATGGTATTTATTGATGGATGGAGGGAGGGGGTGAAGGAGTGGGGGGGGGGATTATAATTAATTATCAATGATCTAGGGATCCTACATATTTACGGCTCGTGTAATTATTCACAAAGAATTTAAGATAAGATGAGGCGCACTGATGCGGAGTGTAACATTCAATGAATTAAGGAATGTTTAAAAAAAAAGAAAAAAAATTTAACTTTAAAAGGTGTTCTTGATTAAATAAGAACATAATACGTAATTGTAAATGGCCGGTAATTGACGAGGTTGAAAATTATTTTCAAGTTTCGATTAGTAGGTAATTTAACGTGGTTTAGCGATTAGACCTAGACCTTTTCACTTATTTATTTATTTATTTATTTTTTTTTGTACTATTATTTTAATTTAATAAATATCTAATTGACTGTTATGATATAAAAACTATAAATAATATTAAATTAAATATTAATATCTTTTAAATTATTATCATAATTTAAAATGAAATTATTTATCATTTAATTTTCAACTAATAATCATGGGATTGAAAGGATTTTAGACAATTGAATTTACTTTGTGGACAATTTTACCTTAATTTAAGTAATATAAAGAAACATCGTGTTAATAATTATAATATTGTTTTGTTATTCATCTTGGGAAACATCTTGAGAAATTTCTTTATTATCACTGATTCAATAGCGCGTTTGTCACTATATTTATATATTACAATTATATTATTATAGTAAAATCAATGAATTATAGATTCATGACTTCCCCTGTTATTAAATTATTTTCGTTTTTTCTTTTAACTGCTCGCATAGATCGGATAAATCATTCGTATTGTAAAGGATAACGACCCCGAAAGTAGATGTTAGATAATTTAAGCGTCAAGCTTTTATAATAGGAACACTTGTATAATGTATATAGCAATCGGCATTCTAATGTGAAATTTAACTACTTTGTTGAAAATATAAAAAATGAAATAATGATAATAGTGGCAAAAAACGAATGCTATATTTTCAATGTCTCTCTCTCTCTCTCTCTCTCTCTCTCTCTCTCTCTCTCTGTGTATTATCCATTAATGAATTGAATACTCGAGTAAATATATAGTTATATTTTTAATGGGTAATCACGGGCAAGTGCACATACAGATTTATCTTATACAAAAGTCAACGTTTCTTTTTGATAAATGAAGATTGTAAAACGAATAATTCATGCAAAAGGAAGCGAAGGGACAGTGAAAGGAGAGGGATACAAAGAAACTACGTTTAGTCGTCGAATCGTCGAAATCGAAATATCGAGCAACCAGGAGGTCAACTAACGGTCTTCCGCTTACCGTGAATCCAATAAGTCGCGGGATCATCGCCGATCCTCCGGATGATCTTTTCCCACTGGGCCTGACAGAAATCGCCGGATGCTCCCCAGAACTTCCGAAGATTCCTTACAAATATCGAAACAATTATTGAGCCCGATCCCGCGATTCCACTTCCACAAGGTCCTTACCAGATGAGGGAGTTGCGGTGGCCAGCAAAGCCGATAACGATCGGCCCGATGACGAGGAGGACGATCATCGGACTCGACAGCAGCTCGACCGAGGTCGGGATCCTCGCGGCCATGGCGACACCGCCTGCAACGTAAGGCCGACGTGTCGAGCGCATCCTGGACTTGGGACGAATGAGGCGGGCTTTCGTCGCTCGTAGCGAATTACTTTTTAAAAGCCGTGGGGCGCGTTCATCTCCTCCTCCGTCTCCCCCGCAATCTCCGCAGCCAACCTACTTAATAATCTCCAGCCTGACGATAAATTTTCTATGGCCATCCATATGGAGTGAATAAGGCTCGTTGCATCGCTCGACGGAGTCTTAGCTTAATAAGCCCACAAACTTCGTCAATCCTTACCGATTGCCTTAACACTTACCATATTCTTTTCTACATTACTCCATCACTTACCGCCCATTCGTTCGGCGCGTCCTCGCCTCATCCTCGCAGTAACAATAAAGAGTTCCGGGTGCTGTTGTTATCGAACGTCGAACGAGCCACGCTCGAGGAATATCCGCATCCGACACTCGCTCGAACGACATTTGACAAAGAAGCAACGCTCGAGATGGCAATGACGGCAGTCTACTCGCGAACAAAGACTCTCGACTCTCCGCAGCCCCAGTTCGCGGGGACTCCGGCACGCATCGCGGCTCAATCGTAAATAAAGAGTCCGGGAAGCGGCGCGTCCGCTGGAACGTCGGTGGCAAACGTCATCATCGCCTACTCGTCTCGAGTTTCATCTTCGCTGATGTAGCGATCGGCGCACGCAATGCTACAGAGCCCCACTATGTGCACGGATCCGAGAGGAGATCATTGTCGCGGGGGAGGGTTCGAGGTCGTGTCGAGTGTCATCCGGGCTAGCGGCAATTCGACGTCCCGACATCAGCGCGTACGGACGGACGGGCACTGGGCTAATGTCACTGCTTTCGCCACGGTCTCGTCGTCGATCACCCGCGACAGCTGAGCGCTGCGAACAGCAGCTACCCGCGAGCGATAAAATCGCAGCAGAACGTCTAATCGTCGTCGCGCCTCGGTTATCGGCCAATTCATCCGGAAGTTCGGTGCGCATCCAGAGTAAGAGTAAGAGAGGGAGTAAGAGAGGGAGTAAGAGTAAGAAACGGAGTAAGAGAGGGAGTAAGAGGAGAGAGAGAGAGAGAGAGAGAGAGAGAGAGAGAGAGAGAG